CCCCAAAACCCCAAAACCCCGTGATAATGAAATTTTTGGAGTGAGAAAAAAAGATATTTACTTGATGTGAGGATAATTTTCATAATTAATACTATTTAATACTATTTCCATTTTTAGAGAAGAATCTTTACTAGTAACATGAGTGATTAAGATGTAGCTTTGATGCTGTAAACAATAGAAACTCAGAGAATTCAAGTTGACTCACTTACTTCAGATGTCTAAAAAATTTAGAGCTCTATGGATTTATTCAGGCAAGAAAATGAAATATTAGAGAAAAGGCTAGCTTATGCTAAAAGAAGAGCAGAATAAGCTAAGGGTATGTATATTCATCCTAATATTTAAGTAGCCTTGAACAATGAGGAGGTTAAGAATGAAGATTCAATAGTAGAACAGATTGATGGTGAATAAAGTTTGGTATTTTGATTGGTAAAATTTGATTCATATTTATAGAGAGATCAAGAAATGGAGGATTTATCTTAAAATGACAAAGATATGTCTTCAATATTTTAATAGAAAATGGTTCCAACTACATTTGCATTTTACTATTACTATGCTGTAGGTATGGATACGCCTGTCTACATAATGGGTGAGTTCAATAAATGGGAGCCAGCAATTATGGAAAGAGTTGCTGATTAAATTGCCATTTATAAAACATAGGTTCTTTCTGGTTATAAATACAGATTTAATTTCAGTGTCGGAGGTTCATTCGCTACTGACTCCTAGCAAAGCGAAGAACCAGACTAGAATGGTCAGAATGTCAATTTCAAATACGTTGTAAAGCTCTAAGATAATGATCCAAATGGGGAATACAAAATTGATCCATAAATACTCAAAAAATTACCGTTATTTGTCCACTCAGAACTTAAAAATATTCGCGAGTAAGAACTAAAGAAGATTTAATTAGATGATGCTGAATTGCAAGAGACAACTGCCAAAGTTACCAATGAAGTCTTACAAAATTTATAAAATGAAGATGATGATGTCAAAATTCAAATATTAAGTCTTTTTTTGAGAAGAAATAGATATGTATTAACAAAACTAGAAAGTTTAAGAAAAATCAGAAAGTTTTCAGAAGCTTCAGCTAACTCTGAAGTATTTTAATAAACTACTGAGCAAATTTCCAACTTAGAAGATGAACACCTGAAAATAATTAAAGCTATTAAATTTTTGATAAGAGGTAGAATCGCTAAAAGTATTAATCAAGGAGAATATTATTACATTAATTCATTCAGAGGTGATGCTAATGAACTTGTATTGAGAAGAGTTTACGATAACTTTGGAATACTACTAAATGATAATTAAGCCAGTGAGTTCAACGTAGTAAATACCAATGAAAGTTATTTCTTAGAGAGCTTTCAAGTTCTATCAAAAGAGGATGAGAGACAATTCAGAAACGATTTAATCAATAACAAAGCTCACATTTTGCTAGTAAGATTTAACGTTAATATAATTGACTATGGATACTATTAATAAAAAGACTGTCAGCCAGTTGAGCTATAACCTCAATTACCCATTGATTAATACAGCTACAGTATTGAATAAAGCAATTAATTCGTCTATGCAGTTACTAGAGGAGAATACGGTGATGTAAAGCATGAAGCTTATAGAGTTGGAGAGGAAGCTGGAAATGCTCAAGATAGAAATATTCATTTCTATACAAATGAGATAGCAAGCAATATCTTAAATATCTTTCACATCCATTTGGACGATTCAAGTGAATAAGTTACCTTTGAAACATAATACCTTTAAGAAAATTAAAGCACCTAAGACTTTATTGAATTCAGTGGTAGTAATGTTAACTACAAGATACTAGTTAAAAACTAAAGAATTCATGGTTTATTGTATTAAAAAGGCTCAGAACCTGCTAAAGAGCTAAGATTCTATGAATATAGATTCAACAAAGGGACATTTGCAAATGTTGACTACTCAAACAAGCTCGAATACTCCCCAGAAAATTTGATTGCATAAGTTGTTGAAATCCCAATTGGAATATTAGTAAGCTTAGACTAAAATGCTATTGCTAATTATCCCTAAGTTCAACTACAACACAACTCCTATGGATTTTGTGCATCAAGATGCTTGCATAAAAGTCTTGGAGGTTATGTGGATGTGAATGTACTTTCAGTTGACAGTGGGGAATCTCTTCTTGAAAGTTAAGAAA